GCCGTGACTCTGTTCGCGGAATTTAACCCTCGAACGTATCGACTCGAAACTATCTCCTTGAAAACGAGAAAACTGTAGAGTAGCGGAGCATTTATCGCGGGCCGATCGCGATTAACGCGCCTTTGGTTCGCTTCATATTTATTTATATTTGCTTTTATTTGCTTTATATTATTCGGTTCGTCCGCGCGAACCGGCAACATTCGACCGGCGTTGGTCTCGCGTGTGAGAAAGCATAATAAGGTGCTCGCACCGCGCGTTTGCTCGAATTCGTGCTAGATTTTCCGTGACGGATGCGCGTATACGTGGCGCACACCAGGCAGTGAAGCAAGCCTTTGTGTTCTTGGTACGCGTACCGTGTCTCGTCCAATGGACTGGCGGCTCGAAACAATCTGGTCTCTCTACACTCTACACTCTACACTCTACACTCTCCTCGAACCTCTTTCTCTCCGTCTCTCGCAGCATTATATAAGAACCGCCTCAGACTGGCCGTGAACTTACCGACGTCGTCGTCTTCGTGTTCGTGTTCGAACGTAGCCGCCACCGTCGCCGTCGCCGTCACCGCCTCCCTTGCCTCCCCTTTTACCTCCTCCTTTACCTTCTCCTTTGCCTCGTCCCTTTACACGCGAGGAACCCGTCCCGCGTGCACTTTGCATGCACCAAACTGGGAGAAGGAATGCGATCGATTCGGTTATTCTTTCCAGTAGAATCGAGAGAATCGCTTTACCTGCCGGCTACAGTCTCGTCTTATCTCCTCACTCGGTAACCGGGTCCTCCGGACAACATTCTTTTCACCTTGGATCGCGTTGCGCGCATCTTCGGCCGAATTCGCATTTACGGGAACATCGATTTTCACCCTGTACAATATTCTTCGTTTCCGGTTAAATATTTCAATGTCCGACCAGATCGTCGCTATTTGGCACATTTCCTATCGATGTCTGTTTCGAGCCTACGATTTTCTTATCGGAAAACTACCGAAATTAGACGATAAGATTCGATACGCGCTCGTTCGATAACCGGGGTGGTCCCCGCGAGTACCCTAGTAGAAGAGGATAGGGTGTGTAGGAAGAAGTAGAAGTTCTTCACGCTCGATGTTTAGCAAAAATGACGCTTTATTGCGGCAATAAATGTGAAATAAGTAAAAAAGAAAGTTTATATAATTACATAAAAGTTATATAAAACGGTAACGTAATATAGGAGCTCGTTGTAGGGGTACCCGAGTGTTCAAAGTCATTCGACACGATGGTGGTGCTCGATATGCGACGACAACGAGACACGAGAACTGCGAATATGTATAATTTGATATAATTATAAGATTCTCGTTTCACCGAATATTGAAAATTGTTCGCAGTTCGGATAACAAAACGTTCGGATATTAGGCTATTCCGCGCTTCGTTTGTACTTGGAAAAGTAAATAACGTCGATGCTCGTTCTTCGGTATTGTGCGATCGATGTTACGATATCGATCGAAGACCTTCGCAAATAAATATTAATGTCTAGCAAGATTTAAATCCAACCGCGGTACAGTACGTACAGCGCATCTTATATTGCCGGTCGTTCGCGTTGCCAATCCGCCGTCAAAATATTTTTCAATGGCATTTACTCGGTGATATTTGCACTGCTCGCGCCGCAGTTCCCATGAAGAATGTTTCAACAGAGGTTAGCGACTGGTTGCGTTAACGTGTATGTAGACAGTGAGAATACAGCTTTACAGAAATAGCGATGCTTCTCGGACGTTTACAAAAGAAGACACCGGTGAGCCGCGTTTATTAAATTATCTCGTTGATTAATCGACAGCTGGCGACGATGATTCGATGTTATATAGAGAATCGCTTCTCTCGATTACCTTAGAACGGCTTATGCACCGGTCTAAGTCACCGGGAGATTATACGATTGGATCGGAAATTCGAATAAGTTGTAATCGAGGTTACTTTCGTCGCGTAACGCGACTTTTTTGTTCGATCGTTTAACGTTTCGTTTCAAGAACCGACCATTTTCGATCGCATCGCGGACACTTTTAGCATTTTTCGATGTTTCGACACCTCCGTCGTTGAACTCGAACGAACTCGTGTATTTTCAAGAGAACGTACAAATTGTGAATAACGGAACGTTGTTCTCAAGATTAAATTGCGTCGCGAACGCGAGCGACGAAACTCGTGCGTAAAAATATGAATATTTCGATGTGTCGGAGCTCGCGCAAAGTTGTTTGCAACGGAATAACAAATACGTCTCTTTTTTTTCTCTGCCAGAGATGGGTTTTAATCGCTCCGGCTCGAGCGGGGTCTGGTTGACGACCTCGTTGCAGTCGGACGACGAGCACTGGCTCCTTTGTCTGGATTCCCAGACGACGAAACGTCTGCTGGACCCGTTTCTATTTTTTAATCCATGACGCTATGCCGTGATTATCGGATGCCTGGACCTCGCGACGCGTTACGACCTCGAGAACGGAATTCCTCTGCAATGTCGTACTTTCGTCGGAATTCCGCAAAATTTATCGACGAATTCGCGAACGCTATCGTTTCGCCCGTTATTATGTAAGTTCACACGATCGTATGCAATATGTTTTTAACGATTCTCCGATATCCAACTGTACGTGTACCATCGACCACAACGGCTTGCGAAAATATAAACGTTCTTCGTTATTTATCGAGCGGGCATTAATTTTTCAATCGGTTACCGATTCACGGTTAAAAGAATATCGTAGTTTTTTCTTCGTTACACGTATATCCGGTTGCGCGCGAGTTTCTTTACGTCGCGATAAAAGATTTGATCTTCGCGTTGCTTGCTCTCGTTGCATCCGTGCTTTGTTATCGAGCCGACGCGATAGTAAAATACAAATAAGATGGTACTATAGCCGCGCGATCGACTTACTAAATTCCTTCTTGGTGAAAGAAAAGCCTTTGGCGAGCTGGGTCCAGTTTGTCAGAGATTATTTACGTTAGCCCAGCGGAGGCTGTGTCATATTGACGCAAGCGACAGACGATCGACGACTCTGCAGAATTTTAATTAATTAATACCGCGATGAACGAATCAGGTTCACCGATGGGGAGAAAAAGTTTCGCAGCATCGCGTAAACGAGACAAAATATGTGTACCTTTCTACACGCGATATAAAGTATCATCGACCAACCGCATACCAATTAGCGCAGCGTACGTTATAAAAACGCGAATCATTGCATAAAGCGAATGACACTACGACTAGAATATTCCTACTCACGCTGAATATTTGAATGGAATACCTGTTTTTTCTCTGCACAGGCTAAAAACGGGCGCCTTATCGTTCAGGCGGTTCGTTCACAGCGGCTTTGTTCTAAACATATACTCTTTCGTCTATGACCAACGAGATTAAATCGTTCTTATTCGGGATCCGTTTTTCTACCTTTGTAATCGATACATGCAAATTAATTCGATCTTCTGCGGTTCGTAACGTTATCCGGATTCGCTGTTTCGTAATGATCTTTATGTAACTGCATACTTTGTAATCCCTGGCAAGAATTTTAGTAGCTCGAGTGAAGTTTTCTGTTAAACGACTCGCGCGCGTTCGTTTAAATATCGTTTGAAACAGATGAACGACGAAAACAATGATGTAATCGATATTTCGTCGAGCATAACGTTTAATTTCACAACGATCTTCAACATTTTTCCTCCGAATAGAAAGCAGGAGTTTTCCAAGCAGATAAGAATTTTCATTTCAACGATTATTTCGTGTATAAATTTCGTGTCGCGCGCTAAATTACACAGACGCGTATGTATATTTCAACGTTTTTAGCAGAACGAACGCTTTTATTGGTTCAACCAGCGATGTAAATAGAAATTAAGTCACATTCGAATGCAACATGTACTTGTGTACACTTATGAAATCGGAACAGTCATTCGGTTGCTATAACTACAGAATTTTCGTAGTAAAACATTAAGCGACGCGAAGTCGCTCTATTTATACCCTTCGCGCGAGAAACCAATCGAATAAACTTCACGTAATTAAATATCTTTATTTGCTACTTTCCATCTTCCTGTCCGTTATGTTCTCGTCGAATAGAGATGGTAGACATTAAATACAACGTATACGATTCTGATTAAGATTTCCACGACTCTGATATTTACTTTGTCTACGGTACAAAAATAAATAATATCGTAGAAGAACGCGTAAATTTATAGAACAATCGTGTCTCGTCGATGCGGCGAGTGTATACGTTGCGTTATTTTAAGCCGCGCAAAGTTAAAAGCTTATTGCAGCGATAACGGTACGTATAAACGTTATGAAATGAAAAAAACACGACTAATAAAATGAGAATAACATCCATGTTTGGTTCGCACAGACTCTCGTTTAATTAAATTTACTTTATTACGATAATTCGGAAAGCGGTATCTGCGATCGTTCTTTATGGAAACGACTGACCGTGCGTCGTCGATACAGCTTGTTTATATCCGCACGATCCAAGTCTTATCCTGGGTCGAGCACGCGTGGAAAGCCGATCGTTTATGTTGCCGTCGTTCGTTATTTCGATAACTATGCTTTTCTAAAAAAAGAAAAAGCGCATAGCACCGCGATTGGTCGAATCCTATTTTATTCTATCGAGGTATGTATTATGAACCATTCGTAATCGACGCGCCTCCTTCCCTCCAAAAAGTACGACTCGCTTCCACCGATCGGTGCCTGGATATTAATGGTTAACCAGTTACGCGGACCGTGGCTCTCTCGATGCTAGTAAATAAAGACAAAGAGACGAATAGAGAAAATTCCCTAGAGGCTTCTACGAGCCGAACCGAGACACGCCGTTTCTTCTTTAATCGGCGCTCCGATATACGCGTAATTCGTTCGAAAGTCCTAGGAAATTCCAAGAAAATTGCCAGCGAAACAGCCGTTCAGACAGCACGTGGTCGATTAAGAAGAGATACCGATGCGCGACTCCGATAGCCTCTCTATGCTAGCATACCGGTAAATTCGCGACTCGCGGTCTCTCCTCCGGCGAGGTCCAAGAGTAATTCCAAAACACACCGACTCACCGAGATGAATCGCCAGGTTGTACCTCTCGAGAGCTTGACCCAAGTGTCCCTCTTTCACGAAAGCGTCACCCTCGTGCCTTGCCCTGCTGGCCTCCGCCTCGCGGGGCCACCACTTTTCCACAAGCCTCTGCACAAGCACATTGGTCTCACCCACAGCGGCGATCTTCTGTCCGCACACGCGACAGTTTTTGCCAGGTTCCACGCAAGCCTTGCAGCAGGTATGGCCGCAGTTGGTGGTAACCGGCTGACACAAGGTCCCCTCGCAAAAGGGACACGCGAACGACGTCTCGACCTTCCTCCTGGAGCCGGCGATCGTCGTGGCGACGCCTGCCACCTCCTCCAGGAGGGCATTGGCCAGGTGTTTCAGCTTGTCCGCCGGGACGGATCCGACCGCCGAACACCTCGAGTAAACACCGATAGACTCCTTGATCCTCCCGCACTTGGCCAACGAATCCCCGTATCCGACCAGCATATCGAAGCTGGGGCTTTGCTGCTTCAAGCTCCGTTCGTACATTTCGACGGCGAGGCTGTAATTACGAGAAGCGAACGCTTCCTTCGCCAGCTCGGTCATCTCTCCTCGCGAACGCTTCCTCCAGGGACTGTCGGTGCTATCCTACCCCTGACGAACCCCCGGCGCGACGCGTTGTTGATGGTGTCAACGGTTCACGTGCGCGCGCCGGTCGCGGGGTCGGTCGCGCGGCAAAATCCCCTCGACGGGTCTACCAAAACGACGCACATTTTCCTTCCTCGGTCGATCGATCTCGGCGCAACTACACCTTTTCGTTCGAGCTCGAACAAATTCGGGTCGACCCCGTTTCTTCTCGGGTCTCGGCGAAAGGAATAACACTTCACTGCATCCCGACGAGATCGATCTTCGATATCGGATAACGCGGTACGCGCGAGAACCGGAAGCGGCTACCTCGTCGCCGACGATCGAACTCCGTGGATACGCGTTTGACAGCTGGCCGGCCACGCGGTCGAACCATTAAAGAGAAACGGCACGCGGACACCGTGCACGGCACGACGGCGCACTGACGACTGCTGGCTCCCTTGTCACCGCTCGCTCGGGCCACTGTCAGAATCGTAAACCAACCGGACAGCCAGCGAGAGGGGTGGTGGTCGCGACGGTGGTAGAAGTGGTGGCGGCGATGGTGGTGGTGGTGGTGGTGGTGGTGGTGGTGGTGGTGGTGGTGACGGCGTCGTCGTCGACGACGGCGAACGGCGTCGGTGCAACCGTGGTGGCAAGCCAACAGCGACGGCAGCGCCACGCGGCGGTTCATGCACCTCCGACCGACTGTTCGCTGCGTCTACCTCGAGCGACTATCCCGTGATTGCGCGCGGCAAGGCTCGGCTTGGCTCGGCTCGACTTGGCTCGGCACGGCTCGGCCCGGCTCAGCTCGACTCGAGCCGCATCGATGCTACACGGTTCTACGTTCCGCGTAGGCGTTCGCGAAGGTGTACGGCCACACCCCCACCGCAAACCGTTAACCGAAGCGTCATCCCGGTACCGTGTAAATCCTGCCTCGATGCCCCATCGTCTCCGACTTGCAGCATAGCGTTCCGAAACCACCGCTTCTTTCCCAAAATTGTCCCCTCGCCGCAGGATCACGCCGTTCGATTTCGTTTTCCGTGAAATTTGCGAGAGCGTAACGGGTTGCTGTTACGGAATGCTCGCGATCCACGGTTCGAGATCGACCGATCTTGGGTGAGGATTATCATCCCCCGGTATCAACAGGCTCCGTCGAGGCGCGTTCCAATGGTACGGCAGTCGCTGTTATCGAACGGCATCGCGTCGCGTCCCGTTGTCGGCTGCTAACCCGCTCCTCCTCCTCGGTGAAAGCGGCGGAGCGGTGGCACGGCGGGTCGGATCGGGTCGTGTCGGGTCGTGTCGGGTCGTGTCGGGTCGGGTCGGGTCGGGTCGGGTCGAGTCGAGTCGAAGCGGCCTTGAAATAAAAACGAAGCAGCAACGCCGGAAAGCGTCGCGCGTAAAGTTCCACGAAAATTACGGTAAAGAAGTTGGCGCGTGCCAAGCGAGGGCAGAAGCGGGGCGGAGAGAATCGTTTAACCAGGACACTTGTTGTTGCTCGTCGTTGTCTCGATCGTGGTCGGCCGGTCCGCGTTCCCCGTACGGTCGATGCGGCAAGGTGGTACTCCTTTTCTGTGAATCACGGCGCGGAACACACTGTTGGCCGCCGTATGGGAACTCGCGGATCGAGCGGCGAGATGCGCGCGACCTTAACGCGGGGAGCTTACATAAAGAGTGTCGCGTCGGTGCACAAAACGTGGCGGGAGCGAGCGGAGTTTCGATTGGATCAATTATTCCACGGGCGAGCCTCGGCTCTCCGGGCTCTAGGAATCTTACTGAGCATGAGCAGTAACGTTGCTCGGTCTACGCCGTGGTATTCGGCTTTACCCGGCTGCTAGACAGGGCCTGCGTGCGCTGCTCCCCACGATGCACCTCCCGTGCGTGAGCTGGTGCATGCACCGATGCGACGCACCACGCAGACGCGCTCGAAACGCACTCCGTGTACGCCGTCTACGTTCGGCTCGCGTAACGCAGTCGATGCACTCTCGCACGCACGCCCCGACGCGTACGCGCATCGTTGGCGGTGTACCCGTTCTTTCGTGCTGCGTATTATTGTCTAGAAAGGACGCGTTACGACGAACAACACCGGAGAGAGGCGCGAATCTGGCGACGCGACGCCTAATTGTGAATCGACTTTGTCACTTTTCACGATAACGTTCCAAATATTTTGCTATCCGGTCACACGGTAGAACTTCGTTTCTATAGACGGCTGCGAGACAAAATATTTATATACCGTATGAAACGCGGCATCGTAGAAAGTACAAAAAGTGATTTACGATATTACGACATTTGTGTCCTCGCTTGTGGCATAATACGGAGCGCAACGGTTTCGCGTATAACGTGTTCATCTTCGTCGGCATTATCGGTAAACGTTTCGAACGTCGTTTCAACGTTGCGGTCCGATCCATCGTTCCACGGATACGAGACGCCCAACGGTCACGATTAAATATCGAACCGCATTCACGCGTCTCACCGAATCTCGTTGTCGTTGCGCGAAATCCATGTAATGGCTGACAGCACGTGGTAATGTATCGCGATCTAGATTTGTCATTGTTCGAGCAACGAAACGTTGCGACACGGCACTCGTTGCCACATTCTTTACACGAATTACGTGTAATAGTAACGAGGTCTGGTAACCGCATGTAGACGCACGTTCGCATGTAAGATTTATAGTCGAGGAAATTAGGTAGACGGATCGTGGAAATTGCATCGACGAGATTCGTCAAATTAATATCGCTGTCGCACGAGCTGGTTCTGTAGGAATTTATTTCCGAATACGAACAAACTAGCGTACCGTTGGAGTAAAAAAGTTTCCTACGATCTTAATGTTCGTTATCGGCAGTTGATGAGCGAACAATGGAAGCAACGATAGGGGTTGCGCGAAGAAAAAACAAATCGATCGTGAATATACGATAATATAATCTGCATCCGTCTAACTTTCTCCGGGACGAACGACCTTTTCCTTTTATCCCTAAAAAAACCTTTATCAACGAGAAATCTTCGGCTCGGCGAGACACAAATTGACAATCCTTCAACGAACGACGTGCAGTCAACAAAGGGTCACGTTCGTTGGGCTTTCAATTTCGTAGAGCCATCGTCTTCTTCCTTACCATTTCTAAATTTATGATTTCGAGCCATATTCTTTCCGGCACTAAAGCCATTTCTGCCTTTTTGAACAATGCACACCTTCGTCGGCAGCATTTTTTATGACAGGGTCGCTAGCACGCACCGCTTCGGTCGGCCGTCCGGGGTTCCCTGCTGCCTGCGGCACTGCGTGCTACGTCATTCTACATCCCCTTCCATCGCGTCACCGACCAACGAATTTCGAGCTTTCTATCCACGAAACTGTATAGAAACTCGAAACCGATTCTTCTCTAGATCAGTTGTCACTTGTCAGTTCGTCGTCGATCGGTCTTTGGTCATTCGTCCGTCATCGATCGGTCGGTTCGACTCGATTCATTTTAACCCAAATACAATTAGTCACCTAAGTGTTAAAACCATTTGTACATCAACGTATCGTCCGTATCACTCGAAAGAGTCATACGGAATCACGCAGACTCGGTGTCGTATCAATTTGAATCGGAGACTTACGACCTCCGTAGATCAAACAGTGAAACTGTTCGATCCCACCGAGGAAACGTGAAAAAACAACGCGAGATAAGCCACCGCAAAATTCGAGCCGCTGAAAAATGCTGTACAAACGAGGCAAGCCTCCCGCATGGGGGATCGATCGTAATGCGAAAGTACATTTTCCGACGACGCGTGTCTCTTGTAACAACGCTGTGGAAAGTAATAAAGAAATTAATCATCCGATAAATAGGTAGGCGCGCGAGTAGACGTATCTTCTACGGTGGCAAGGAAAACGTTGATCGGTCGGTATATCGCACCGAGATTCCATCGAGGAATGCGGCTTACGATAGTAAGCGTGGGTGAAACAACTTGTAATTGTTGTGCATACCGCGTATCTCTATGAACAAGACTATATTGTACAGACTATTCCGACACCAATGTGCGATAGAGCAGATCGATCGATGGGTGACAAAATGTATATCGAGTTTTACCGCAGTGCCGTAGCAAAGTTCACTCGGCGTCGCGAAATTTTTAGCAAACCGGTCGTTGTATCGTATAAACATGGATTTTCGTATACTAATTTTTCGAAAGCCGCGAAATGCTAAATAAGCGATCGGATAGGTAATTTTCAAACTTGCAGAAAACATTCGATCCAGTCGCGTCGACGTTGTTCGTTATTCTTCGAAATGCTGATACATCGTTCTAGCCGTTATTAGGGATGGTACGCGTTCCTCGAGTCCTCTTTACATAATTAAATCTGGCTTACGTAGCAGAAAAGACAATCGCGAGACACGCGTTAAATCAAAGACAAGCCGTTAAAGCTGAGTCCGTTCATCGGACACGCAAACGTTTCATCGTCTACAAGAGCCGACCACGCTAATTCCGTTACCCGGTAAGAAGCAGCTTCGACACCTGGTCGGTGTGAAACGGTGCTTTACAGGATTAATGGTATCGGCGGACGCTGGCGTCGGCGAATACTGTAATTGCAACATTCTTGTCCGTTTCATTGCACAACGCTGTTTACTACTTTGCAAAGAAACGCGACGTTGCCGCCGAATACGCGCTAAATAAATAACAATGACAACGGTCTAGCACGAACGACAAATATTTGCGTCACGTTCGAAGAAATTGTCGCAACGTTTCTCCGCATCCTATCGATCAAATTGAGAAAACAATTTTTCTGATATCGATCGCAATTTTTTACCGAGCAGTTGGGCAAGCTTATCGCTCGCGCGTTCGCAGGATATCGATCGGTAAATGCAACCGTTTCCAGATCCAATACGGCTGTATTTATCTCAGCGTTTCGCACCTTTTATCTGTCCGCAAAATGAAATGCAAAGCTGAAACTCCGACGTTTCAGCGATCACCTTTATTTCGGTAAAAACTCGACGATATCGAACGCGACCGAAACGATCGATCGATCGATCGATCGTTCGATTCGAAGAAAACGTCCGTTCGATCTCCTCGCGTTCGGTTACAATCGCGGGCGATAAACTTTTTCGTCCAACTTGCACGAGCGAAGAAGACTTCTAACCTTTTGCCGCTGGTCGTAACTCGCGAGCGTAATTCCGTCCGACGAATCCTGGACTCGTGCATTACCCGCATTTCGTACGCTCGTAGACCGCTGCACCGAGCAACGCCGGAACGAAGAAACCCTCAATTTTCTGTAGCAGAAATTCGTCATCGTGACTCACTGACCTTAATTGACTTTATTTCTTCGCGTTGTAGTCACGCCACTGCCCGCTTCTCCCGCGATCGCAGATCGATCTAGATCCGCGTCATTGAAAAGCGACGATGGATCAGAAATTTTGCAAAATATTCCTTCGTTCCCTATAGGAATTTTTTAAGCTCCGAATCGGCGTTCTCCGACCATTTTTGGACCATGCCCCACCCGAACGGGTATCTTGAACGTTTTACGTCCGAAAACAACCCCGGAAATGATCAGGGATCGACGTTAGAGCGATCCTCGGTGTGCCGCGAAGCCCTTTATTTTGCAAACTAACGTAGTCAATTTCAAACTGTAATCTCCACGGTTTGCGACATTCGGACCGTATGCGAAGCTCGCAGTTAGAATTCGTTCTCAAAGGTTTGCCGCGCGTGTCCCAAGACCGCGCGATCCGGATCTCTTCCTCGGAAGCAAAGTTTCCGTATTCGGCTTTCTCGAAGATCCGACGCAGAAATTTGAAAAACGGAACGCTTAATCTCCGCCTTGCACACTCGTTTATCTGGAAGCTTACGTAAGGTATTTGTGCCGTACAAAGAGTCACCTTTACTGATCGCAAAACAAATTGTTAATCATCGAAATACGGCGTATCTCGAGGTTACGTAAATGGTTTACGCACGACAGACACCCGCACACATACGGCCGTCCGGCGCGGCGTGCTCGCTTCTTTCGCAGACAATTCGAGGAGGACGAATTCCATTATACGCCGCGAGCCACGGCTGAAACGCTGCTCTCTCTCTCTCTCTCTCTCTCTCTCTCTCTCTCCCTCTCGTCAGAAATCGCAACCTCTGCTCGCGAACGGGGCTGTTCGCGAGGCGGGGATCGAACTGTGATCGCGTCGCATCGATCTACCCTGCTTTCACCGTTTGCAAGTACGGATCGATCGCGAAACACGAGCGAAATGCATCCAATGATACAGATCGTTTCGTTGACACCTTCGAATCGTCGATTCCGACGAGATCGCAGATTTTATTTAAAAAAAGTTTGAACAGGGTTGATGTACCGGTTGTGGCCAGTGGTGCAACGAGCGCTTGTCCCGCGAGGAACCATAATTGTTATAATTCGTACGGAAAGTTTTTTTTCGTCGAGCAGCTATCGAGATCCGCCCTAATAACGCGTCGTGTAATTGTTGCCGATGTAGGTTCTCCAACGGTTTTAGTTTTCGGATCGGCAGGTCCGGATAAAAACCAAGAGCTACTTTCGAATAAAATTGACCCGGACGAGGGGTTAATTAATAGCCACGACGACGGCTCGACGAGCCTGGAACTTCATCTTTTTCTCCAAGACCCTCTGACATAACTACGCGAACCGTAAGTTGGTCCATCGGATTTCGTAATTACCGCTTACGTGTACTCGCGGGAGATCCGATCGCCGGGTCGTAGCGATTTATGGAATAATGTAGCCAGGAACTAGATTCTCCGATGGTTCGCGAGGCATGGCGGCTCGAGAGAGCTGTCTCCGTG